TTGTAGTTTTTTCACGTACAATTGTATTCACCGTATTCCCGACCGTGTTTCGTGTTCTCTACAGTAGATGGCAGTATTTGTGGAGGTTGTTTCAACTTCCGTTAGAAGATTCAGGTTGAATGCGTAAATCCGCATTTCAACCATCAGGTAATTGCAGACAACTATCAGACTTCAATAGTTTCTATGTTATTTATGACGAGAACTTAATGCTTAGTAAAGAAATAAAACAGTAATTTATAATTATTGAAGAGTTTCTGTGGATGATAGAGTAAAAAATTTATTAGTTTCATGGTTCATTTGAAGGTTAGTATGGTGAAAGAGTAATATTAAAATTAAGAGAATCGAACTTTCAATTTGTGTAAATTATAGGGTGACTATTTTTTAGGTTTCAGATTTTATTTTATTTTATAATCAAGGTTAAAGAGCCGATCCCATTCTAAGTTAATGACTATCAATGCTCAACTCCACACCCATGTAGTTTTGAACACAACCCAGAGGACAAGGGAACTCCAGGATCAAGCACTGAGACAAACTGGCCTTTGTGAAAGATTTTTTATGACTTACTCCCATTTGCGTTACATGAAGTGGAAAACCTCCCACGGTTAGTCCGACGGTAAGGGGATTCCAACCCATGATGTGTCTACAACTGTGGATATTTTACGTCAGTTCTGTGGTCGGTGCAAGCCGAGAACAGAATTCATATCAACCTGCAACAGCTAGGATTCGAACTTGGCTCAAGGTACTAGATTGTGATCAACCCTAATATTTTGAGGCTCAAATATCTAAATCAGTCGAAACCAAAAGAAAGTTATGCTTATTCAAAGAAAATAATTTTTGAGCCTATGATATTGTAATTTTAAATAAACAGGTTTAAACTTAGACCCGCGAAGTTTGAGGCCAGAAACGTGATTGAGTACTTGAAAATACGATTATTAGAAAAAGATGTTCAAAATTCTTCGTTATTTTATTTCATATTTTTTTTTTCAAAATTTATTTACTATCCAATGAAAAAATAGGTGTTCTAAAATTTTCATGTCCGCGCACAATTTTTAATTAGATCAACTTCAACACCATAATTACAAATTACCAGTTGTAAGAGTTATAAAAAATCAAACTAACACATAAATATAAAAAAAAATCAGCACAAGTAGATCAAATAAAAAAAATCAGACTAACATAGTCATTAAGAAAAAAGCAGCACAAGATGAAAAAAAACAAAAAAAAAACGATAATTTTGGAATTTTTTTTTGGAGTTGATTATTTTCCAGGCTGAGTTTTTGATTCTTAAAATTTTTTATCCATGTGCATTTTCAATATTTTTACGTAATATTAGTAATTTAAAGTATTTTTATGTTCCTTTTATGATTGACTTATTAATTATTACTGTCTTGGTTGCAATTTTAAAATAAATATGAAGCGAAAAATGTAGTGACTTTTTAAGAAGCGTTTAGTGGCTGGATTGGGCACTTGCACACAAGAAGAAGACCTCTCTTACCCGCACATGTGACGTATGACGTCAGCATCAGTCAATCTTTATCAGCAAAATGGTGTATTAAAGTTGAGCTTAGTTTCTCTACGTAAGTTAGAATGTTAAGGCCTGGTTTCTTAGAACTAGCGCCTTATCTGGGCGTCAGCGGGACGTCAACGTCACGCTGACGCCAACAAAATACTGGTTTGTTAGCTCAAGGCCTGGTTTCTTAGAACTAGCGCCTTATCTGGGCGTCAGCGGAAAGTTNCATGTAAAATTGCATTCGTTAAAATGATGTTAAAAATTGTATTCCTTACAATTAAAAATATTTCGATAATTTTTTAAAAAAAATAGTAAAGATTTACTAAAAGTTGCATTTTGCACGGAATCAACCTTTGAAAAACAAATTTCATGATTGTATGGAGAGAAAAAAATTTCAATTCGCTTAACTATTTCTCGAAATGTGACGACTTACGTAAAAAGTATAAAATTTACATTAAGGGGTCAATACTTTGGATCGCGCTGTTGACCAATCTATTGGGACTATGTTTCCCAGATATCGGTCACCCTCTTTATTTGGGGGTCAGAAATGTGAATCCTTTGAATAAAAGTATGTTTTTTTCAAATGAAGTACATTTTTATGCCTGATGTCATAAATTAATATATCGTCTGCACTAATTAATCATCATATTTGAGGTCACCCATTGGAACCAATAATATTAAGCCCTAGAACGTGAAGATAAGATTATTAAATCAAAAATTATTTAGTGTGATCCGTTTATTTTTTGCTCTCTGTATCTGCAATATCCATTATGCAATAAAATTAACCTTATTTTAGGGTAGGGCTTCTAAATATGCATATATATTTTTTTAAATTAACCAAGAACTTGATTTTAATATAGGTCGACTTTGCCCTGTGAAGAGAATTGAGAGCAAACAAGGAAATTTGCGGAAAGGGGTGGAAGCAGGATAAAAAATCGTTTGATGCCGTTGTTACATGGCTCATTATTCTATCTAGAACCGGTGAGGGTGCTTCCTGTCTCTCTTGACAGCTGCTGCTTCAGACATGATCCTGCCTCCTGTATCAGGGGAAACCCTTAAATATGAATTTAAAAAAATTATTCTGAATTATAACGGGTAGATTAATACTTAATACATCGAATGTTGTAGTCGTTTCAAATTTTTTTTTAAATAAAATTGATACCTTTTTTTTCCTTACATTTAAGCATTTTTTATATGCAGTTAAGGTTACCGATAACGATTAGTCGTTATCGGTAATCGATTAGTTAAAAATCGATTAATTAAAATTGAATCGATCAGTTAAAATTGAAAAACTATCAATAGAGAAAATTTCGTTATACGGGGATTAAAATCAGTAGTTCCCAGTTTATTTTGGCTATGAAACACTCAGAGATCGAGCTTCGTTTGGTTCGAACTCTGGTTTTAAAAGCTAATTTCATGAGCAATAGTAACAACAATGATCGAAATAAATAAATAAATAAAAATAAATCAATAAAAATAAATAAATAAATAAATAAATAAAAATAAATAGGTAAATAAATAAATAAATAAAAATAAATAAATAAATTAAATAAATAAAAATAAATAGATAAATAAATAAATAAATAATTAAAAATAAATAGATAAATAAATAAAAAAAGAGTGTTAATTATTTTGAAAATGTTCTTTCGTCATTTTATCAATAATAGTCTTAAAATTACGCATTATGTCAGGCAGATGAATTTACAATTCTGAATCAGCATCAAATCTAGTTCTTAATTTGTTTTGATGTACAGTCCCTCGCCAAATAATTAGACCCACTATAAAGTTCTCCGTAAAATCTTAATTATTTGGCGATACTATACAACATTATTATTTTCACGCTGTTGATACCGGTTTACCCTTGCTTATGTTCGTGTATTAATTGGCTAACATTGTAACGCAATACGTAAAAAATAAATAAAAATAGGAAATAAAAAATCTCCTGAATAAAAACCCATTACATGAGTGTTTAAATATAAAAGTATTGCATGTAAACTCGTGCAAAACTAGTAATTATTAAAACACTACAGTGCGTCTAATAATTTGATCTAATTATTATAATATACTAATATAATATCTGATATAATAAATATTCTATATTTATATAATATATCGCCTAATTTAATCAATCGTCGAATTTATATAATGTATCGTCTAATTTAACCTATTGATAGACAAACGTCATGTCTGTCATGTTTTCTATAAGTTAAAAATTAATTAAATAAACTACATTTATGATTTATTTTGAAATGGTAAGGAAAACTAATTATAAATGTTTATTATAAATGTTGAGAATTGTTATCAGATTTTTTTTTTTTACATTATTGAATTTGGTTATGGTATTTTAAATTGATAAACTTGAAAATACTGATGCATTTTTTTTACAAATGCGTGGCCTTTTCTTAATTTCTAAAATTTAGTCGAGATACATAGGTATTTATATGCACAGATACTCACGCACTCGACATGCTTACTCCTCGACATACAAACATACTCGACAATGTGTTTTTCAATTTGTGTTTCTAACGAAAGGTTTATTTAGTTGTTTAAATTGTTTAAAATTAAAATTTTAACGATAAATTTCTACTTTATTATCCTCTCCCCTCCTATTGAATATTTACTTTTGGATACCACCATAATACCAAGCCAGTTTATTTATAAACTTGAAACATAAAACGAAAATGCATTCGAATTTTGAAATTTTTGCATTTGTTTTCATTGCAATTTCATCCATTATTTTATGCAAAAATTTGTCTTATAAAATTATAAATATGGTCAATTTAAAGCTAGGTCTTTTACATCTTACTCATCATTCATTTCTTTAGTTTCATTTAGTGCCTTAACTCATTATTTTTCATTTAATTCCCTATTTTTTTTTTACTGAATTCCTTATTACTCATTTAATTATTTTTTCATTTAATACCACATTTTTTATTCCTTTTTCTTTATTTTATTACAGATAGATTTTAATTTAATTTTTGACATTAAATTAATTCCTTATTTTCCGTTTTAAATCAATTTAAAATGCGGAATATTTTCTACATAATTATTGACAAGTTAAGATATTTTGCACGTTTTCATATAAGACTTTTCTTTTAAGGGCAATCTCTACATATGTACAACTTTCTAACATATTTCTGTAGAAATAAAATCTTGGCGTTTACTTACATACTTAAAAGAAAAATTTCTGAAATATTTTTCTCAAAGTAATTACTCGTTCTTAAATTGAAATTTAAAATATTTCCTCCGGAAAAAATATTCATGTTAAGGATCAGATAAAAATTTAAACTTGGGGGGAAAAAAAAGAGAAGTATTAAAATAATTTATTCCTCCATCTTCATCCATGGATGTCCAAGAGCATCCTTTTGGGCGACATCGTCCTCACGTGTTTTGATGCGGATCAACATCAACTAGGCGATGTTGGCGATGGAATGAGTTTCGAATTCACGATGTGGCAACCCCCCAAGGCAGGTGGGAAAGCCAGTCCGGCGTCAGTTGAGGGTAGGTCATCTACCGGTGGGAAAGTTGATTTCGCGTTCTCTCGCCTTGCCGTCGAAGTGCTCCGTGCATTTAGCTATGCTTTGTTTACATCCGTGATTTCTATTTTAAAAAATCTACTTAAATATTTTTCATTTCTTATTCAGTGAAGTGTTTATGTTAGACTCATCAGCGAGATTTTATTTCGTTATTTTTCGAGAAAGTGACATGCGATCGTTTCCTTGGAAACCAACCCAAGCCATCGGAAATGACAGTGAATCTTAGGCCTAGTCATCGACGGCCGTCACGTTCCATAGCCCCAGGGCAAACGGCTAGATTCGCTGCCGGCGTTCGAAGAATTCTTTAAATTTATCATGGCTGTATCGGATAATTATTTAAAATGGACTAAGATGCTTAGTGTTTTATTAATTATTATTTCACTTTCTCAAGTGCTTAGTTACGATGTTTATGTGCCATCTGAGAATAATAAATTAGGCACTGTGATTTTTAACGCCAGTCTTGGCGCGGGTCGGACGTATCGTCTGGATATTACAAGAACCCCGGTGTATGTGCGTCATCTTGTGCGAGTGGACCCCAGGAGCGGTGTGATTGTGTTACGAAGAACTTTAAGATGTTCTACTGCAAAACTAGCAAATTTAGCACCGAATCCGTTTAGTTTTTACGTGGAATCCAGAAGTTTTCGACTTAGCGGTTCAGAAACAGAATCAGTTGTGATGCCTGTACGAGTGCGTTTTGGACACAGAACATGTCCTAGGCATAAACGGATTAATTTAAAAAGTTTTGTTGCTGAGAATGTTGTTTTTCTCACCGTCGCATCTTCTCAGAAGAAAATGATAAATAAATTCTACAGTCCTAAATCGAATTCAAGCGATAAAGGGAATAATGACATTATTTTTTATGGAAATGATACTTCTGAAGTAACGGCGTGTTTTATGAGAAGTCAATTGATTGCAGATATTGATAAAATCATGCCTTTCGGAGTGTTGAATAATTGTGTTGTGCAGTTTGGTCAACCGTCGGATAGTAGGTATGCGATTGAGGTTTTCGGTTCAGATCTGGTGGCGCGGGAGGATTTTTGTGAGGATTCACCATCTTGGCAGGTTAGTTTTACCTTTACATTATCTTGTCCTTCTTTAACTCATGATAAAACTCCTGAAGTTTCAAATCACGAAATTAAAATAAATTTTCACCTACTTGGTGAGCCGTCAGATAAAACAGCAGCAACTGCTAAGCGTGCTGGTAGGCATAGGAGAGATAATAGACGTAAAGAAAACAAAGCTCCTTATTTTGATAGAGCTTTATATGTGGTTACTGTCCCCGAAGAAAAGGACAAAGGTTATGTTGTTGCTACTATGGTTGCGAGAGATCCTGAAAGCGATGAAGTTGTGTATAGCCTTCACGCTGTGTTAGATGCTAGGAGTCAAAATATGTTTTCTATAGATTCAGTTACGGGTATAGTTACCACCACTGCTAGTTTAGACAGGGAATTTATGGATGTTCATTACCTACGGGTAACAGCGGTTGACAATGGTTTACCACAAAGAACGGGTACTACCACTTTGCAGATTAACGTAAATGATGAAAATGATCATGCTCCGGCCTTTGAGCAAAACATGTACGAAGCTTCCATTCGAGAATCAGCTTCTATTGGGTCCACTGTGGTTACGGTTAGGGCAACTGACCAAGATTCCGGTTCCAATGCTGAAATTGAGTACAGCATTCTTAATCCTAGTGGAGTTAATGATGTGTTTAGGATTGATTCAAAGACTGGTATTATTACAACGAGAGGTCCTTTGGATAGAGAAAATACTGCATTTTATTCATTGATTATTCAAGCTAGCGATTTGGGTTTAGTCGTTGACCGAAAAACAGCTACTACGTCTGTTGAGATAACAGTTCTCGATGACAATGATAACTATCCTCAATTCACTGATAAGTCGTATACCGTTGAAGTTAATGAGGATATTAATTGGTTGAATAATCCTGTCATTGCGAAAGTTAAAGCTGTTGATTATGATTCTTCTACAAATGCAGCTGTGCGCTATTCTCTGATCGGTGGCAACACTCAGGGACGTTTTGTGATTGATAGCTTAAGTGGTGAGATTACTGTTGTTTCCCCTCTTGATTATGAATCGGCTCGTAATTACAGGTTAGTGGTTAGAGCACAAGATGGTGGTTCTCCTGCAAAATCCAATACAACTCAAGTTCTAGTAAAAGTTAAGGACATAAACGATAACGATCCCAAATTTTATTCTTCTTTATTTCAAGAATCGGTGGTTGAAAATGTTCCTGTTGGTCATAGCATAGTTAGAGTGCAAGCTTACGATCCAGATGATGGAAATAATTCATTGATATCTTATAATATTCAGCCTAGCGCTTATTCCAACATGCCTATTGATATTAATAAAGATACTGGGTGGATTGTGACTACAAGAATTTTAGACAGGGAAGAAAGCTCTATGTATGATTTTACAGTACTTGCATCTGATCATGGTTCTCCAGTCAGATCAGCTACGGCTAGTGTTATCGTACGCATTCAAGATGTAAATGATAATGATCCCGTGTTTGAACCAAAGATGTATGGAGCTTCAGTTTCAGAAATTGATCCTCCTGGGACTCCTGTGATCAGCGTTACAGCAACAGATAAAGATGAAGATCCTCGCTTGATTTATCAAATAACAAATGGAAATATTAGAGGAAGGTTTAATATCATTAGCCAAAATAGACAAGGCTTGATATCTATTGCTCAACCTCTTGATTATCGTTTAGAGAAACGGTTTGTCTTGACCGTAACTGCAACTGATTCTGGCGGCCGTTTTGACACTGCAACTGTCTACATCAACATTACAGATGCAAATACTCATAGACCAATTTTTGAGCATACTCCATACACGGGTAGTGTAGCTGAAGATTCTCCTGTTGGAACAACTGTGCTTGTGGTCGAGGCTTCTGATGGTGATGTTGGAGAAAATTCGAGAATAACATACTCAATGGATGAAGATGTGCCAGAGTTTCGCATTGATCCTGCAACAGGAGCAATAGTGACAACCAGATTACTAAACCGTGAAGAAATGACTGGTTACACCATTGTTGTCACGGCAATGGACAATGGATCTCCTCCACTGGCTGATACAACCAATGTGGAAATTGAAGTTTCAGATGTGAATGATAATCCTCCCAATTTTGATCCTAGTTCGTACGTGAATGCAGTTAGTGAGGATGCTTTGGTTGGTACTAGTGTGCTTCAGATATTTGCTACTGATAAAGATTTAGGTTTGAATGGTCAAATACGGTATACATTTAGTGGTGGTGATAATGGTGATGGTGCTTTTCGTGTTGACCCTACATCTGGAATCATTAGGACGAATCGTATGCTTGATAGGGAATCAGTATCTTTATACAATTTAGTTGCCTATGGTGTAGACAGAGGTTCTCCTCCCCTTTCCTCATCTGTAACCATAACTATTTATGTTGAAGACGTGAACGACAACCCTCCGAGATTTAAGTCGGATAAACTAAAGCTGACGATACCAGAAAATAGCCCAATTGGATCACTTGTTGGTGAAGTTAAAGCTTATGATCCTGACGAAGGTCCGAATGCAGAAATTCAATATAGTATTGTTGGTGGACCAGACGCTGATTCTTTCAATTTAGTATCAAGACCTGGTGAAGCAGCTGAATTGACTACTCGAATCGAATTAGATTACGAATCGAGTATTAAGAAATATAGTGTTATAGTTCGCGCGTCTTCACCCCCACTGCGCAATGATGTTGACGTTGAAATCCACGTGACAGATGTGAATGATAATGCTCCTGTGCTTAAAGATTTTACAATAATGTTTAATAATTACAAGAATTATTTTCCTGTGGGTCCATTCGGTAAAGTGCCTGCATTTGATGCTGATGTTACTGACCATCTACGTTATAAGATATCCTCTGGGAATAATGCTAATCTTCTTATCCTCAATGAAACTACTGGAGAATTAAAGCTCAGTCCAAGCTTGAATACCAATGTGCCTATTCATGCTGTTATGGAAGTCAGCGTTTATGGTAAGTGATATTTTTTATAGTACTTTGAGTAATTTATAGAATTTAGTAATAATTATTTTATAAATTATTTTTAATCCCTTAACTTTTGGTGCCGATATTTTATTTCTTTATTGAAACTTTCGAATTTTTGTGAGATTTCCCGAATTTTCGAAAAAATTTAAACAATTCACTACTCTTACCAAAGCTTTTATAATTCTTTTAAAAGGAGCTTTTTTTTACTTCACGAAGAAAGTTTTGAATATAAGAGAATAAAATCGTAGTGTTTGATAAGGAAAAAATATTTTGTATTCTTTAACTATAGGCGTCAATATTTTATTTTTTAGTTTCAAATTTCTGTGATATTTTCCGAACTCTTAAAAAATTACACTATCATTTTACCAAAAAGATTAGATTATTCTTTAGAAAAGACGGATTTTTGCTTCACAGAAATTTGTTTTATGAAAGCGAATATAATTAATAGCATAAGTATTTTTTTTTTCATTTAATGTGCCAATATTTTATTTTTTAGTGAGACTCCCAATTCTTTTGTTGTTTCCCGATTTTCCGAGAAAGTGTACATAATTCGTTATTTTTACCAAAAGGATGATATTTCACCTAACAGGGAAATTTAAAATCTAAAAGAAAATAATTATAGTATTTAATATTGATTATTTTAAAAATTACTTTTTTATCTTTTAAATATAGGAGTAAATATTTTATTTTTTATTGACATTCTCAACTTGTTTTTCACTTTTTCGAACTCCTGAAGAAATATGCATAATTTTTAATGTTTACCAAAAGATATAATTCTCTAAGAAGGACGAATTTTCACTTCACAGGAAAATTTAATAGAAAAGAGCATTATTATAGTATTTAATAATGAGTTTTTATAAATTATTTTTTATTCTTTAACATAGCTGTTAATATTTTATTTTTTATTGATACTCTCTGTTTTTATGATGTTTCCCGAAAAACATTTCCGAAAGAATGTACATAATTTCTTATTTTTACCAATATCTTTAATATTTCTCTGAAGAGGAATAATTACTTCGGACGAATAGACTGGAATATAACTAATCATAGTATTTGACCTAGGCGCACGTGAACTAGAATCCTCATGTTAGTACTCCATGTATTTAATAATGATTATTAATAAATTATTTTTAATAATTTAACTATGGTTTCCAACTCCCCCTATTTTTCGGAGAATCTTTGTTGTGATACATTCCCAAACTTATAATCAAGTCCATAGGTCTGTATCCTTTAAATGATTACAAGCTAAACAAACAAATGACAGTTTTATTCATAATTTTCTTCCAAATATTTAGCCAACTTTTCATTTTGTATTAAAAAGATATTTCACATACTATAAACAGAAAGCGAAATATGTGCAATAATTTGTAGTTTATAAAACTGTTGCTAATATTGAATTTTAAATGCTGATGGGTGGATAAAATTCCAAATTTAATAATTCCCTATAAAATTCCTAATTTATAGGTTTTAAATGACGTTTTACGTCAGATACAACAGCCTTACTAAAGACAATATTTATCCTAAATAATGAAGAATCTATTACTTGATTTGATAATTCAATATAAAAAGGGAAAAGGCCGCCTAGGGGCCTAAAAGCCTTGAGCATTTTTAGACTATGACTATAAGCTAATAGTAGTTAAATTTGTAAAATATGTCCTGAAAAAACTTAGTTTGATGTTTTCAAATCTCTCTCTCTCATATATATATATATATAATTAACAATTTTTACGGTAATAGGTAATGGTCATATTCTAGATAAATTAATAAAAATGTAATTTATTAAGCTTACAGTATTTTATCATTTAATTAAGACATTGAGAGAGCATTGAAAATGTTAAATGTTGAGTATTATTTTATGTAATGTAAATGTTGAGTATTATTTTTATTTATATTTATTTTAATATTTAGTAACTTAATTAAAACTGACTGCACTACTTAACTTAAGCAAGTTGAAATAAAAATTGCCCAAGTAAATGCTAAAAGGAAAAACTGTTTGTTAAAATTAACCATAATTTAATTGCATTACTTTCTTTTAACCATAATACGATTATTTTTTTACGCAGAATTACTATATTAATCCTTTAACAGATTATTTTGAATAGAAAACTGATTAAAACTAGTATCACAAACTGATATGAACTGACTTTATGATCAACTTCTTTGTATTTTTATTTTATTCAGTTATTTTATTTCATTTATTTATTTAATTTTGTTTTTTTGAAAAAACGAAAGCAGAAAAATTTCTAAATCCGTTACTTGTTTTTAATGTTAATAGGGCTATTGTGATTATGGTAGCGACTTCTTATTTTAAACGTCGGGAAATTAATTCAATTTTACTTTTCAAATTTTAATATTAAGAGTGTGATACTTCCTTTTAAATAGAGGTTGTATATGCTCGCACATTGTAGCATACAACTTTTATTGTGGATAATATTTTATTGCACCCTAATGTATTGAAACACCAAAGAATTTTAAATAATAAATGAAGTTAAAATGAAACTTAAACTGAAATATTGTTTTCATCTTTTTAGATTAAATAATTTATATTTAACACTTTATTGTACTACAGTAAGATTAAAATTTTGTTTTCGTATATATAATTATTTTTTATTGTTTTTTTTTTAAATAATGACTATTATAAATTTAATTGATGGGAATAAATTATAACAGCCTTTAACGGAAAAGGGAGAAATTTCACAGAGCAAAAGATCATAATTCAGAGTCTGTTAGTAGTTTTGAGAACCACAAGTTCAATTTTCAAATTATTCGGAATAAACATTTTCAACTTATTTTATTTTTTATACAAACGATTTTTACTACTACAGTTAGAAATATTTTTTATTATTATATTTTAAATTTATTTTCCTTTTATGTGTTAAATACTTTTTATTCTGTAATAACTTGTTTGAAATTTAAAATTTCATGACATTTTCTTGGAAGATAGTTCTTAATATGACTTGTTTACAAAACATGTTTAAAAATTTTTGCTGATTGCTATAGTTTTGTAGCCACGTAATTCCTTCCACCCCATGTAGCATGTTTAGTTGCATTTAACATACTGAAATCTTTTCTGTCTCTTTTAGATTTGCGTAATTTAAAGATATCTTTTCTTAATTGCTAGCAAGAAAACTGATTTATTAATTAACGAATGATTTAAGCAACTATTACTATCTTACAGTGCTTTTCAGATTTACGTAAGTTAAAGATATATTTTTTTAATTGTTAGCAAGATAACTGATTTATTAATTAAAGAACAATTTACGCAACTATTATTATTTTTCCGTGTTTTTTAGATTTACATAATTTAAAAATATCTTTTTTTAATTGCTAGCAAGAAAACTGATTTATTAATTAAAGAACGATTTACGCAACTATTACTATTTTTCCGCGTTTTTTAGATTTACATAATTTAAAGATATCTTTTTTTAATTGCTAGCAAGAAAACTAATTTATTAATTGAAGAATGATTCACGCAGCTATTACTATTTTTCCGTGTTTTTTAAATTTACGTAATTTAAAGATATCTTTTTTTTAATTGCTAGCAAGAAAACTGATTTATTAATTAAAGAATGATTTAAGCAATTATTACTGTCTTTTTTGTTAATAAAGACCTTTCCTTCAATTCGTCAAAAAAATCAAATAATTTCATTTTTAAAAAAAAATAAAATCTACTAAAATAGGAAGTGAAGAAAAAAGAGGGGAAAAAAATAGTTCTCAACATCACTCTAAATTAAGACATGATGAAAGTCAGCGGATCCGATTTAACTGAGTTTGTTTTTCTACTTCTTCAGCAGCTCCATTGACCGAAGAAAAACTTTTTCAACCCACTAAACTGATTTTTTTTCCCTTCGAATTTCATTTTCTTTTTTGGGCATTACGAAATTATTTTAGTTTTTCTGGAATTCCTTCATCAGGCGTGTGGTTGGCAACTCAATTGAATGAAAAGCACCACTGGCCTTTTTTTTTTCATGGACTTTTTCCCTTCTCCCATACACTTTTCAATATTTCCTTTCCTTTTTATTTATTTTTGTCAACGCATGGTATTTTTTCTTCTTTTTTTTTAGCTTTAGCAACAGCAACAAGAAAAGCAACTCGATGTAATTTCGATTTCAGACGTAACTAAAATAAAGTGAAATGAATAAAAAAAGAAGTAAGAAATGTCTTGGTTTGAGAGTTGGACATTTTCTGTAGAAAGTCGTAAAAGCACCTTAGGGGGAGGATTTTCTTAAGTTCTAAACCCTCAACCTTATATCCTTTACTCTCCCTTCTTCTTGTTCTACTGGAGCTCTAAAAGATCCAGTTTTTTTAGTTCTTAAATGTTGGAGCTGGAATTACTACGATTCCTCTTTTGAAAGGATTTTAGGCTGCTTTGGAAACTGGATCTTTTTAGAGTCGAACGAATTTGTTTGAATTCCACGAACGCTTCAGTTTTTTTTCCTTATAAAATTGAGTTTATTTACTTTACAGCTGAAGAAAGCTCAAGGAATCTTAACTTAAAAGGCAGATTATTAAATTCATTTTAAATTTATTTTTTTTCAACTTCCTTAAATTCAGCTGTTCTATTGTTTCTAAAATATATGTATGAAACTAGAGGAAGAGATGAAGTAAAATTTAATTAAAAATGATTTTTTTCTAACGAAACTGAACCATCCTCCCCCCCCCTTGATTAACTTCAGAAGTGTTTGAATCAACTTTATCTCACTTTGCCCATAAAAGGCATTTTAGCTGCTCTTAACTTCTCCCAATCTTAATTCACTTTATCCTCTCAATGTAGAAAAAAACTGTTTTTGATGATTTTTGTTACACTAATATATATATATATATATATATTGTTACATTAACATATAACATATATATGTGTATATATGTACAAGTTTAGCAATTCAAATTTTTTCAACAAAAATAAGAGACCCCCCGAAGCACCTCCTGACGTAAGGAGGTAGATTCTGACGTAATCTTTGAACCCCCCCCCCCCCAATCTGCTGAGC